ATGATACGCCGAGCCCGGTGCATGCAAGACAGATGAATGAATGCAAACATGCTATCGTACTGTATGCTAATTGAAACATGCCCCAATCTAACCATCATAAGCTGATAAGTAAAAGGGAGAAAGACATGGGGTTGGAAGACATACATCATACACACGCACACTTATTACAACATTGCCCTCGCGCAGCGGGTCCGAATAAATAATACAGTCCTAAATGAATAAATAATACAGTCCCGAATAAATACAGAATCCTAATTAATTAACAAATTAATCTAGAAAAGCAGTAAATTGGCACGCAAATCCATGGACCACCTCAGCTCTGTTCCAAATGATGAATGATGCATGCTCGGGTTGCCTTGTGCGGAAATCCCTTGCGATACCCCGGTTTGCCTCTGTTTACAATTATTCTTGGGATACGTGCCAGGCTCCGGAAGGTTGCTGATTTCTGATTTGCTGCAACAGAGAGCAACAAAGGGGCATGGCAAAGTATTTTCACATATGTATTCATGACTACTCTTCAGGGAGTGTAGTCCTCGATCCTCGTGCCACCAATCACGCATCTCGATCCATGATGGCCGAGAAGTCGATTTGCATGACTCAATATGAAATGAATACACATATGGACACAATAAGGCCTAAACTCCATCATGGGTAATCCGGAATGTTGGCGATAGGGAATTGAGACACGTTCCGTCACTCGGAGTACGAAACGTCCCTCGTTTCCCGTGCTTTGGCTAACTCCTATCCCAAGCACTATGCAATATGCATGACATGCATTAATGCGATCCTAACATGCATCCTAGCATACACAATGCTATGAAATGGCATACACAATGCACGATGTAACGAGGCATACACAATGCTCTAACATACAACCTTGCATACGCAATGCTATGAAATGAAACGGCATACACAATGCATAATGGACTTACACTAACATGAGTGGACCTCAGCCACACCCACATCAGTAGCCATTAGGTGAGAATGGGACTATCGAAATGTGTGCACACATGCATGCAAACCGAGGACCGATCCTAAGGCATAACATATAACTCTAACAAGGCATGGCAAGGGATGCAAGATGGCATGCAAACTCACAAATTTCAGCACTGAAATATGATGCTTAACAGCCCCGAAACATGGAAAAATGGCACCCGATGCATGAGATGAAACCCGAAACTTGAAACTAGGCACATGGAATGACTTATAGCTATACAAAGCATGCATTATTTGATCATGAAGCATGAAGACAGAGCCAAGGAAGTCCCAAAACATAAGCATTTCCAGTTCAAAGCATGGCCAAAATATGCTAGCATGATGGACAAAATAGCATGCAATCTTGACTAGCAATCATGGTTTACATGGCAAGTATATGAAGCAAATGTAATCTCACCAAAACAGAAAAAATCAGTGAATAAATCATGTGAAAATAGGCCCAAATAACCACTGATATACAACCATGGTATGCAAAAATAATGAGTTACTTTGGAGGGCCATGAAAGGAGTTATTAAGCACATGCAAGCTAGACATTTAGCATGGCATAAACAACTATGAAAATCAAATATGGTAGTCCTAACACTCACCAAATTGACCCTGGAAAGTGACTTTGAAGCATGCAAGGTAGGGTCCCTTTGGAAGGCCAAAATGACCACCAAACAAGTCATGGAGAGAGGGGGTCACCCCCCTCTGATTTGGAGGCTCAAAATAGTGTGCTAGCCACTGAAAATCCACTGGATTTCAGTGGCTAGAAGGCCAAACAAAGCATGCAACAAGAGCTTAGGTGTAAGGCTCAAAATAAGGGACAATCAAGCATACAAGGAAGCATATAACCTCAAACAAGAAAATACCCTTAATAAAACATGAAGATGGTGTCAAAACAAGCCTTTTTCCAATTTATAATAAATCTCAAAAATGAACACAAATAGGGCTAATCTATTATGCAAAAATGGCCCTAAAAGAGAGATTAGAGACAAGGGACAGCATCTGGCCCCAAACAGAGGAGAGCCCTTCAACAAAGTTAGAGAGGAGCTCAAAAAAATAAACACAAGTGAGGCTAAAACGACATGCAAGAAAAAGGCCTAAAAGAGGGATAAAGAGGCAAGTGGTAGCAGCTGACCTCAAACAGAGGAGAGACCTTCAACAAAGTTGAAGAGAGACTCGAAACAAGACATTTCACAGTTTATGACCAAGTCAGAAACAGCTCACAAATAAGCCTAAAATATCATGCAAAAATAGGCCTAAAAGAGAGTTTAGACACAAAGGGGAAGGAGGAGACCTCAAATAGAGAAAGACCCTTGATCAAACATGGAGAAGAGCTCAAAATATGACTATTTCTAGTTTGGGTCGGAGCCCAAAAATGCAAGCAACAAAGGCTAAGAAAGCATGCAAAATAGAGCTAAAAGAGAGGGAAAAGAGACTTACCCTTGTAGCCTAAGTCTTCAACAACTTTTGGTCCAAGAAATGATGCTCCTAGCCTCTGGAAATCAGCTTCAAAGGGCTGGAATAGAAGGTTGAGGTGTGGTGCTATGAGTGGTAGTGTAAAGGGGGGGGGGCAAGAGCCTTAGGGTTTGAAGGGTTTGGAAGAGAGGGAGAGGAAGAGTTGTATGCAATGCCCCAGCTGGTTTTGTCAACCCTTCAAAATGGAGCTGGGGTGCTGGTTTTATAGAGGGAGAGAGGCAAGGAAAGGGGGGAAAATCAAATTCAAATTTCCCCCCAAAAGGCAACCCCCCCAGATACAAAATCTGGGGGAAAACAGAGGGTACAGCTGGAAGGCACTTGGAGAGAGGATTCTGGCCGGCCAGGTAAAAAAGGTTCAGGTGGCCGGCCGGCCACCCCCCATGGCGGCCAGGGGTCAAAACGGTCAATGAAGATTGCTGGCCGGCCACCTCAAAAAGGTGGCCTCCCATGTGTGCACAACACAACTATGTGGTCAAAACCCAGAAAATGTGAACCAGGAGAGAGAAAAGCCAACTTTTTAGAGGGGTTCAAAAGGGTCAAGGACAATTACTGGCCGGCCTATACATATTGGTGCCCTCCCAGGTGTGTACAACACAAATATGGGGTTTAGTGCTAAAGAAAGTGGCCTCGGGGTGGTCAACATTAGCTTTTTAGAGAGGAAATCGGGCGACGGAGAGCGATGAAGAAACAAAGCTGGCTTTTCAAAAAAATTGATGGCCTCCCACCCTCCTACAAGCTTTCTAACAATGAAAATAAGGTCTCCACCAAAAATGAACCAGAACGGAGGTTCGGGGACCGAAACGCGCGGCCCGGGGCCTCGAAAATGGGCTGTTAAGCACCAGAGGTGGCATTCGACCACGAAGTTGGTCTCTCAGGCCACAGTGTTCCTCGAAAGGGAGGAAATAAGGTGTTTACCAAAAATCGGAGCAAACGGAGGTGGTTAGGCGGTCCCGAACAGAGGCACACGGCCGTTGGCTTCGAAAAACCAGAAACCGGGCTCCAAACGGGAAAAATGGCCTACGACCACGAAACGTAGCCTACGACCACTGAGAGATAATCTAAGAGACCTCTCCCTCCATTCGGAAAAAGAAAACAGAGAAAATAGAGCCTGGTTCGCAAACCGAGGCAAGGCACGAAAGAGTCCGGAAGTCCGGAGGCAAGGCTCGCAGCCGAGACTCTAAAACTTCTGAACGAGCACGATATGCAATATCACCGAGCGCTCAATTGGTGACGTCTGAGTCTTAATGTCGGTCAAAATTGGGGTGTCTACAGAGAGAGATTAAATTGAAAAGCAAAGTTCTCAAATCAAATAAGAGCAATGAATTTAAAAAAACACCGCCTCAATTATCTCGTGGCCTAGAATTTGGACCGGACATTTGCTTGGTCTCGGCACAATTTACTTCCACCGCTTACAGATGGGAAGCAATAGGAAGCACAAGGTTTAATTGTTATATTTTTATTATTTACATACTTTAACCAATATATTATTGTAATTCAATTTGGAACCCCGCAATTTTTTATTGTGGCCTTTTGTCTGGACTGTGTGGTGAAGTTAAGAAACTTGGGCTGGAGCTTAATTTGGAGCTACTAATATTACATTGATTAAAAGTATTTTGGAACCCTTAAATTTGATTAAATTTTGGGGGCCAGGGCGGCAGCCTTGCTTGCCTTGGGTCAGGGTCGGGCCTGGCTCACACACAAAAGGTGTGTGGACAAATTTATTTTCAAATGCCACCACTGAAACTATTATCTTTAATAGATATGACATGAAGTATCTGACACCAATGCAAATCCACAGTAATAAAAACAAAAACAAATAGGGAGCATACACAGAAATAATAAATAAGGAGAAATATATAATTCAGTGTGAAATAGATAACAATTTTACTTTTTAATCCATAGGATTAACGAATCATTTAGAAAATGAGGCAAGATGTGATGTGAACTAAAATTTTAAGAGAGTTTAGAATAATTATGTCAAAATTGTGGAGGTCAATGTATTTTTTTCAAACATCAAAGAAGGATAACGTAGTTTTTCACCATTTTTTTTATTGAAAAAAGAAGAAATAATTATGAAAATCAACTAAACACTGTAAATGACTTTCAAACTCCCAAGATTTTAATGAATTTGAGAAAAGTAAAAAAGAAATGAAAAATGACATACAAGTTCAATATCGAAATACAATGATTTGTAAGAGAGATGCTTGACTAATAATTAGAGAAGATACGAGTGAGGAAGCTGTCTTAAATATTTTAATTGATTTCCATATCGTAGAATTTGAAAATTAGGTCTAACTTTTGGGTTTGAATAGCAATACTCAAAAGAAATACATGTAAGCTATCAACATCTTAATATGTTTTCAGCCATTTATATTTTCATGTATGGCTAGTTAGTTGATTGACTTGTAATTTGAGCTCTGCAGGATGGGAAAGCCAAAAGTCCAAATCATTGGAAGATTTCCAAAAGAAAGGCAGTAGAATTCAAGTAAATTTCAATGATTACTGGAAAATAGTAGTTAAAAATTGCAGGAGACGATCGAACCTGTGAGATGATTGCTGCTCAAGAAAATTATCTGCAGATTTGGAAGTTGTACTAATTCAGTTGGAATTGTTCCATGAATGTTGTTATATGCCAAGCCAAACCATTTTAAGCTTGAAGTGTTGCCAAAGGAAGGCGGAATTGTACCTGTAAAGTTATTTTCTTCTGGTCAAACAGTTCTTCAAAAGGGCAAGGTACTCAACTCTTTCGGTATGCCACCGAGTCCGATTTTGATTTTGATTTTGATTTTGATTTTGTTTACTGATTTTAAGTGTGTGAATAATATACACATTTTGATTGGGTAGAGTCATTACACTTTTTGGGTGTGAAGTCCACATACTTGGGCCAATCCTATTTTGTGTATTGTTCATATACAAAAGTTGTGTGAACAAATTCATTATATGACCTGATCAAAAATAAAATAAAATAAAATAAAATCCATTATATGGCACCTCTAAAATTATTAACTTTAAGAGATACGACACAAAACATCAGACAAAAGTGCAAATCCACAAGGATAAAAACATATACAAATAGGGAGTAGACACAAAAATAAATATGGAAAAATATATAATTCAATGTGAAATAGATGTCAATATAACTTTTTCATCCATATGTTTTGGGTTTACTTTTCCAGCCATTTATATGTTCAAGTGTGGCTAGTTAGTTGATTAACTTGTAATTTGAGCTATGCACGATTGGAAAGCCAAAGCCCTGTGGTCGTTGGAAGATTTTCAAATGAAAATCATTAGATTTCAAGTAAATTTTAATCAGTGAAGAATGCTAGTTAAAAAGTATAAGAGGTTATCGAACTTCTGAGATGATTGGAGCTCATCTTGATTCAAACATAATTTATACATGTAGCAATTGATATCCGATCGTTTTGATTTTTTGAATGATTATTCTAATCAAAGAGTCGTGAAAAGTGAACGATTCAGATAATCATCCAAAATTTAATCGCCAAACCCTTTCTCTCAAATTGGATGACCATCCAACTTGAGAGAGCAATTGGATTTAGTGATCCCATTTTGAGGTCAACCTCGATAATTCGAACCGTTTACTTTATACAGACTATGAGAATCAACCAATCACGATAGCCTTCAAACTTCCAAAATTTTGACTCAAAATCTTCATGAATTTGAGGGAAATAAAAAATAAATACGTGTGGACTGTGATGGTCTTAATATGTTTCACTATGTACATTTTGGATGGCCTAAATCGTTTTGATAATCAATGGTCTTGTTTTAATGATCTTAATCAATCATTTTCTAAGATCATAAGTATATATATCATTATGAAAAAAATTAAGTTGATTTGATAATTGTAATATTTTATTTTAATTACATTTGTCTCTTAAAAAATTGACAAATAGTTTTTTAAAATAGACCATTTAATTTTTTTGGATAGAAATAGAATAAGAAGAGAATGATACGATTATTGATCTACCTAATTTATTCTTTCAAGGATTATATAAATAGAAAGCCCTAAAAAATGAATATTTTGGATCATTAAAACATAATCCATGGGACTCACGACCCCTCAATATACTTTTATGTGTGCCCAGTTAGTTGATTGACTTACAATTTGTGATCTACAAGCTGGGAAAGCCAAAAGCCCAATAGTCGTTGGAAGATTTCCAAAAGAAATTCAAGTAAATTTTAATGATTATTAAAGAACACTAATTAAAAGTTGCAGGATCTAATTCAGTTGAAATTCTTTCGTGAATGATGTTATATGCCAAGTCAATCAATGTTAAGTTTGAAGTGTTGCCAAAGGAAGGTGGAATGGGTACCTGTAAATTTTTTTTTTCTCTAGTAAAATAGTTATAAAAAAGAGTAAGGTTCTCAACTCTTTTGGTATGTCACCAAGTCCAATTTTGATTTTGTTTACAAATAGAAAGAGTTTGTAAACAATACACACATTTTGATTGGTGTAAAATGATATAGATCCTACCATTTTGGGTGGGTTTATTACACCTTTTGGGTGTAAAGTTCACATATTTGGGCCAATTATATTTTGTGTATTGTTCACACACAAAAGGTGTGTGGACAAATTCATTTTCTTATGCCACCACTGTAATTATAGCTTTAACAAATATGACATTAAGCATTTGACACCAGTGCAAACCAATAGTAATGAAAACAAATACAAATAAGAAGCAGACACGGAAATAATAAATAAGGAGAAATATATAATTTAGTGTGAAATAGATGACAATTTTACTTTTTAATCCATAGGATTAACGAATCATTAATGCAAATGAGGCAAGATGTGATGTGAACTAAAATTTTAAGAAAGTTTAGTAAAATTATGTCAAAATTATGAGGGTCAATGTATTTTTTTAAACCTCAAAGAAGGTTATCGCAGTTTTTCACCTTTTTCTTTTAGTTGAAATAAGAAGAAATAATTATGAAAATCAACTAAACACTGTATATGACTTTCAAACTCTCAAAATTTTAATGAATTTGAGGGAAGTAAAAAAAAATGAAAAAAGATATACAAATTCACTAGCTACACCCATTGATAAGAGAGATGCTTGACTAATAATTAGAGAAAATATCAGTAAAGAAGTTGTCTTAAATATTCTAATTAATTGTCACATCATAAGATTTGAACATTAGGTCTAATTTTTAGATTTGAATAACGATACTTAAAAAAAAAAAATACATGTAAGCGATCAAGACCTTAATATGTTTTCGGCCATTTATATTTTCATGTGTGGCTAGTTAGTTAATTGACTTGTAATTTGAGCTCTGCAAGATGGGAAAGCCAAAAGTGCAAATCATTGGAAGATTTCCAAAAGAAAGGCATTAGAATTCAAGTAAATTTCAATAATTACTGAAAAATAATAGTTAAAAATTGCAAGAGGTTATCGAACCTGTGAGAAGATTGTCACTCAAGGAAATTATCTGCAGATTTGGAAGTTGTCCTAATTCAGTTGGAATTCTTCCATGAATGTTGCTAAATTGTAACCCAAGCCCTTGTAAGCTTGTAGTGTTGCCGAAGGATGGTGGAATGGTACCTGTAAGGTTATTTTCTGCCAGTACAAGATATCTCAAAAAGGGTAATGTACTCAACTCTTTTGGTATGCTACCGCTAAAATTATTTCTTGCAAGAGATATGGAAAAAAGCATCCGACACCGGTGTAAACCCATTGGGATGCCCCCTTCCAACGTATTGTTCATTAAGCTGAGAATTTTCAAGCGATGCAAACGGCCAACTTCATCGGTCAGATGACCATGGAAGCTGTTGTTGCGTAGATCGAGCACTTGGAGGAAGGAAAGATTACCGACATGAGAAGATATGGTGCCTTGGAGACCCATGCCGCGAAGGATCAAACCCGTGACTCTTTGCCTACGTCGGCTACAAGAGACCCCCGGCCAGCCACAAAAGTCGGTTTCTTGTGTCCAGTTACTCAACACATTATTGGGATCAAAGTTGATTGAGGATTTGAAGGAGAGGAGAGCCAATTGATCAGTGAAGTTTGAGGAACAAACGGCCAACTCAACCATGAGTGAATGCAGTAGCAGGGCGCCCAAAAGGGAACCAATGTACAGTTTCTTCATAGACATGATATGTAAACGGGAGTGGAAGAAATGAACAGCCTCTTCACGCAATGATGATCCTTTTATATTATTTTTGATGTATCGTCCGAATTCTCGTCACTAATTTAATGAGTCTAATCACTTATATTTAGGCCTCTTGTGGAAAAGGTTATTTTAATATTTTTTTAATTTTTTAGTTAAAATACGAGGTAAAAAAAATTAGTATGTTTGGAATGAATTTTTAATTTTTTACGAAAATATATCCAAAAAGTAAAGAGAAAATGAAATCTTTGACTTTTTTTGTATAGGTTATAGACTTTTTAGTTTTTTTAATAATTTTTTGACTTTTAAGTTAAAAAAGACAGTTCCCAAACGAGACCTTATTTTTAATACAGTAGTGACAACTCCAATACTTTTTCTGTTTCAAATTATTAGACCATTTTTATTATCCTAAACAATCTACAAATATTAAACTTTTGTGGTGTGCACCATAAAATGAAAGTTAAACTTTTTCTAATTTACAACAATTTATGTTGATAAAATTTATATCATTTTATCTTTTACCGTTTGGTTTCTACTAAGTAATTTTAACTTGAGAGAACGGTTCAGCTTGGTAGGCTCATTTTACTAAACTGATTCTAGAATAGTAACTAAGGAAAAAAAATAGATTATCTGAAATGAAATATTACATATTTAACACATTATATGTGTTACTTCCTCTCAAATAAATAATAATAATAAATAATAAAAATAAATAAAAAAAGAAGTGGGTGGAGAAG